CCCCGCCCGCGGGAGCCGAGCGCGGTGATGTGCCCGCACCTCCTTTAGCATGTGTTTCTTGTCTCTCGTTTAGGATCTGTGGTTGCCTATTTTACGTCTGCAAAGTTTCTTCTTTATCTTGGGCATGCACTGTCCACCTGGGTAAGTAAAATGCTGGCCTGATAGTAGTAGGATTTTATTAATCTAGCTGTAACTTGCCTGAGCTTTATGACTGCTTTCCAAAAAAAAAAAAAAAGTCGTAGCGTGCCGCCAGAAAGACGGAGGTCTCGTTACAACACTTCGCTGTTTGAAGTCTTCAGAGGCTTTACATGGTATGTGGTAGTAGGTTCAGTTTTAAGTAGTGCAGTACTCAATTTGCAGAGAGCCTGGTTGTATACCTTAGAAAATAGCTACAGACCTAGTTAAACTTCTTCTAGAATTCAGTTCTGCGTGAAAGATATGAAGCATAGTCCATAGCGCTACAGACCTAGTTAAACTTCTTCTAGCATTCAGTTCTGTGTGAAAGATATGAAGCATAGTCCATAGTAGAATGAAGGACAGTCCACTGCAGCATGTATTTGAAGGATCTGTACACTTAATATCCCATTACTAATGGGAAATACTGTTTACATCAGACCCATTACTGCCACTCATTAGCAAACTTGAGGGCATCAGATGTCTCCCTGTAAAAAGTTTGGCCTCTGAAATGCTTTTCTTATGTGCTAAAGTAACTTACTACACCAGCTTTTACTCACTTGAAGGGTACAAAAAAACCCCACCCACTGTAAAATATGCACTAAAAATAGGCAATCTAGTTTTATTCCATATAATAAAGTGAAGAATGTATATGATACAGTCTTAGTCTCCATAAAATGTCTTGATTCAAAAGCAAGTGGAAAGCTTCTCCCTAATATTTCTTCTTTGGTCTTTAGTCCTGCATTTGGACTGGTTTGATGAATGCATTGAATAAATGACTGCTGTACAGTTAGACCAGTGCATTGCCTAGCTCTAGCAGCTTCTTGCTTTCATGAGCCTGAAAGGTGATACTGATGTGTGTTACCAGTTCCTGAGTGGTATCAAACACTGGTTTAAACCAGTGCAGCATCCTGGTAGGTGTTAATGTTATCGAAGGGGCTCATTGGTGGTGTTTCTGTTTGGTGGGTTTTCTGCTTTTTTAGCAGTTAGGGTTGTTACCTACCACAGGTTTTGTCAGTCATGCCCACGAAGTGCCCAGCTGGCAATTTGGCCAACCTTGCTTACTCCTCGCTGACGACTGCTTTGGAGCTGAGCAGTTGGATTGATCTGAGAGTATATGAGTAAAGGTGACAAAGCAGAGTTGGAAAACAGTGTCACACACCATAAAACATTGTGAGAGATCTATTCAGCTGTTTATCAATATTAGCAGTATGCCCCTTGTTCTAGGGGGTGTTCTTTTGTGCTGAAAATCTTAACTCAAAAAAACCCACCCAAACCTGCTGAAACAACAGAAGTACAGCTTGCTTTGACAGAAGTAGGTGCAGGACTGCACCTTTTCTATCTCCCAAGCTTTAGTGTTCCTGCAGTCTGAAGGTTTTTGTTAACAGGAACAATAAAAAAATACCCAAGTCTTCAGAAGTCTGAGTAATAGGTGATCTTTGTTCTAGAATGCTCTGTCCACAACACAAAAGCTGACAGAAAAAGGGTTTTGCTGTAGTGAAGAGAGCTAATTAGGTTTCTGTGTCACTGTGCCGTTCCCAAATACAAAGTGAAGCTGTAAATGATTAAACATGTCACATCTCCAGAAACGTTCAGACTTGGAAGTCTGGACTCTGTTGGGCTCTTACTCAGCAAAGTGTTTCAATGTGTGTTTTGTCTTGGGGGCCTTAATAGGCTGAACTGGGGACTCAGACCTCGTCCTGTTGCCTTGATGTTTTTAATATATTGCCATTTATCCCTCAGTAGTAAAGAACAGAATGGTACTGGGTTCAGCTTGCTGGTACCAGGCCTAATGCTTCACAGGAGGGAGGTTGGTTGCAACCTCCCTGTGCCCCTCAGGCCTCAGGAAGTGTGTCAGTAGGTAGTAAGTAGCCTGGCTACTGCTAAGCTTGTTGGCCTCAGGTCTGAGGTGGGATTGTTTACGTTCAGTTTGAGTTGGTTATAAGGATAACTATAATTACAAAAGAGGAAGAACTGTCTTTAAAAGGATTGTGATGCTAAACAGCTACAATTACATAAAAGTTTTGAAATATCCACATTTTGAAGTGTGATTAAGTGTATATAGTAAAGTATTTACTTGTTTCTAAAGATACTATTTGCTGTTTAAATTTCAATAGATCCTGCCTTGAAATTATGTACCTGCTTCAAACCTATGCAATTCACTAATACTCTTCTGTGACACTCATTTATCTTGGCTTGCTCTTTATGGCTTTTAATTCTTGAAACAACCTCATGCTTCTAGGGTGGAACAGCTTTGGTTACCCCAAAAATTGTCTCTCTGGGTTGACCTGATCAAAATACTCAAGGGGGAATGCATTGGGTAAGGCTGAACAATATTCACAGGCTCTTTAAATGTACTGCATAGTGAAATCACTATCTGACAGGAGTCAAAGGAAACCTTGCTGTGAGTTTCAAGTGAGGTTCAGCTTTTCACTCTGATGGTAGTGGTTGGCACTGACTTTCACATGCTTAGATTTTTTGTTTGTTTGAAACACCTTTTTTGTCTGGTCAGAATTCAGTAACAAACATGGCTGCGTGAAGGAAACACCCAGGCTTCTGCTATGAAATGATAATGTGAAAGTACTTTTGGCTCATTTTTTCTAGCTTGTTCAAGGGTTATCCAGGCTGATCAAAATGTAGTTAATCCACCTTTGTGTATTTTAAGTTAAATTCTATGAAGAGGTACCTCAGGTCATGTTAAGCTTAAGTGAATGTTGAACTTGGGAAATTACATCCCTGTGGATTCATTGCTGGAGTATTTTCTATATACTTCTAATAACTAACCATGGAATAAAAGTGGAGCATGTTAACAGAAGCCTGGAGGTGTCTCTTCAGTGTAAATTGGTTTATTATGTTTGAGAGGGCACATATGATCATGCTTATAGTAGCATTTTTCATTGGTTTTAGTTAAAAACCATAAATACCCAGAGTTTTTTCTTTCCATGTTATTGAAATGTTATTTTTTTTCTGCCTGTGGTTAATGAAACAAATTAAGGTTTACACATTAACACTGTATGAAGAAACCTCCTTCAGAGAGCTTGAGTAACATTAAAATGCAAATGCTTTGTGTGTCTGTACTATATTGAAGACTTAATCAAACTTTGCAATTATCTTGACCTGCCAAATAGCATGGTTTTTTTCTGTATTTCTGGGTTGCTGTGTTACATGATACATTCGATTTGTCAAGCTTTGCTTTTTTAAAAGTACTTCCATGTTACACCTCCCCCAGCTTGTCAGAATATTTGAGGTCCTTAGAAATTTGTACTATTTGCTGTATCACATAGCAATTGTTGGTTTAAGATAAGGCAGCATAAGAAAACAGTTCCATGCTTGCTTTGTAAAAGACTTAACATTAGGGACCCTTATTAAACAACCTGTGTGCCCTAGAATAGGATGAATGATTTCTATTCACCTGTTTTGTTACTGGTTACATAAAGCATTTTCTGTAGTGCATTTCTTGAAATATGTTTAAAAATAAAGTGAGATGTGACTCCCATCATGACAACAGAAAAATTTCCATGCATTGACTCACAAACCTAAAAATGAATAGTATGAAAACTACTTCACTTGGATATGTTTAACAATTTGGGCTTTCTTTTTTTTACCTGTGGCAATTGGTATCAGAACATGAAAGTGTTGTATTGTAAGCTGTAGGTTAAACTAGCAATAGGCTAAGTAGGTTGAAGGAGCAATGAGTTTACAATAGGTTAAATGAGCTCTGATATGAGCTCTGCCTCTAATATGCCAATGCTTAATATTAAAGAGCTGAAGTCCATAGACTTCAGAAACTTCCATTAACATATACCTACATCTATCCTGAATTTTATGATGACTTCTCACCTAACTCACTCCTGTGTTTTAAAGCAGCATTTAAGCTTTGGTCATTTAAGGGCCAACTGCTGTCTTGAAAAGCTATTTAAATAATATCTGTAGTCAGTAAATCTGTCGTTAATATTTGATCTGTGCTGGAGAATTTATTTAAGCTTTTTTAAGGCTTGTTGGATGTGGCTGGGAACAGACTTTTCTGTAATATTACAATGGAAAACATCTGGGATTTTTGGATGTTGTATTACAAGTTGTAAGGATTGACTTAATAAGGACAGTTGATCTTAGTGATAGTGGGATAAAACCAATGGTGACAGGAGGTAATCATCAAAGAAAACCCCAAAACAAGAACAACAAAGCCCCTCCCCCCCACCTCCATGTATAACAAATATTTATTTAAGCACAGACTTGTCAGGGCATCAGTAAAACAGTGAACTTGAGTGCTGGCGAAGTGCAAACACTAATGTTGTATCTATGTTCTCTGTTCCTCTTAAAGGGAGATCGTATGTGGCATTTTGCTGTGTCTGTATTCCTGGTTGAACTCTATGGGCAAAGCTTACTCCTGACTGCGGTCTATGGACTGGTGGTGGCAGGATCAGTTCTTCTCCTGGGAGCTCTTATTGGAGACTGGGTGGACAAGAACTCCAGGCTCAAAGGTTAGATGCCTAGATCAGGCTGTTTACTTAAGGAAGAATCAAGTTAATGTTAAGTTAAAGCTGATAGAGTTAATTCCTCAAGTCAAATACAAGAATGGGGCCTGCTCATTTTAAATTTTTTTCAAGAAGGGCAGTGTGTTAGTGGTGATGGTTATACAAAATTACTGTCAGAGAGGAGGAAAACAGTTATAAGTCATAATGTCTTTTAGTCAGGCTAAAGCTATATGAGGCATAGAGGTCACATAACTTTAACAACTACAGATCAAGTTCTTTACAGTCTCTAAGATACACTTGCATTATTTATTGTCTTCTGCCTGGATACAAATATCTTTCACAGAACTGTAAACACTGCATTTGCATTATACGTATTATAAATATGTTCTAGTCTGTTTTATAAATAAAATGGCATCAACGTCTTCATACTCATTTTTACTTTACAAGAGTTTGCAAAATAGCATCTCATAGTAGGCTGAAAATGAATTTTAGAGGCTCAAGCTAGGTTTTGTTTTGACTACTTGAAAGATAATGTCAGCATTTAAGCAGGGACAGTTTGGTTTTTGATTGAGACAAGACCTACTTATACTAGCTTTAAAGCTACATTAGACACTAATTTGTTTCTCTAAGACAATAGAAGATTCTAAAGCTCATATGAAGTATACTTTTACCACTTATATTTTCGGGGGAGACTAGGAAAATTATTTTATTTAAAGAATCTGAGCATGTTAATTATATCCTCCTTAAGCTTATAGTTAGTACATTCTTATGCTCATAAGTGTTACTCTCTGTTTTGATTTAAAACAGTGGCCCAGACATCCTTGATTGTTCAGAATGCATCTGTCATCCTGTGTGGTATTATCCTGATGATTATCTTCATGTTTAAGACTCAGCTCTTGACCTTATACCATGGATGGCTTCTTGTGAGTGCTTCAATTTGTTAATAAGGAATTCATTTACAAATAAACTTTGGGGAGCATGGGAAATGGATGAATTTTATTTATTTTTCTGGTTTGTTTAGACCTTCCTGGGAGCTAAAAGTGACAAACAAAGCTTGTTGGGTAAACAGATGATTGTTTTCTGATAGGAACTGTAGACTTGGTCTTGTTTTCTGTGAGGAATAGCATTCAAATGGATGGATTCAAATGTAAAAGTCTTTCCTGCTTGTGCAGGGGATGAGTGGAGATCTCCCTCTATCAGTTTTCTCACTTTGTAACTCTTTTCCCCCTTTCTCTAGACGGTGTGCTATATCCTGGTTATCACCATAGCAAATATTGCCAATTTGGCCAGCACTGCCACAGCGATCACAATTCAGAGGGACTGGATTGTGGTGGTTGCAGGGGAAGACAGAAGCAGACTGGCAGGTGAAATATGTTGCCTTTTTAATTCCTTACATGTCTTACTTTCCAAGCTTGATTTTTAACTAGAGTTTTACAGAGATCCGTGCATCTTTGAGTTTCAGATATTAGGAGAAAACCCTCAGTACAAGGGCAGCCTTTATTTTGCTCTTACTTACCCTGGATGACATTAAGATCAGAAATTACTGTTGTGATTATAATTCAGTTAGGCATCCCTAAGTTTGTTTTGTCCTCCTTTTAGACCTGCTGCAGCTTTCTCAGGAAAACTAGTCTTGCTGACAGGACAAGTGTTGCAATACTTTATTTTTAGGTCCCTGGAGTGAAACAGAACTCTTGCGTAACTTGGCTCCTCTCTCAGGGATCAGGGAGAGGTGCATGAGAATGAAGTCCAGAATAGTTAAATAGGTGGATCAGGAGACTGCCACTAGATTAATACTGTGCGTGCAGACAAGCTTGAAATCTTGTGCTTCTCCAGCATTAGATCTGTAGCTCAGAGCTGTGAACTTTCTTCACTTGAAACTGAAAGCTCTGTATACCTTTGACATCTGATACTTTTCATCTTTGGACTACAGACTTCTTGCCTAAAAAATAGTTTTGCTCCCCCCTTGCACAGTGGCATTAGTACTATTAGGAGAGAATGAGTTCCCATTAAATTTCTACTGCAGCTTGGTAGGTGTGACACGACTTGCATTTGAGTGCTTGGGAACCTCCCCAAGGATGCATTGAACCTGACTCTCCTTTTCTGAGGGTGCTCATAGCCACAAAGTAAATCACACCAAGGGGTGTATGATGGATCTGTGGCTGTGCCACTCCTCTAATTGTAACAGTGTGGGGAGCAGCAGCATTTTTGCCATGAATTCAGGCAGGCTGTATGGGCTCTGAATCAATCCCATAAGGGGACTTAAGCCTTCTCAGATAAAGGAACTGATACTGAAGTGCAAGCAAGGCACAGCGCAGCTTAACATTACCAAGATGTTTACAGCTCACTAAAGTCACTTTGGAACTAAAATTTAAGTCTGACACAGAGGCCATACCTCCAGGCTGAGACAGCATTGAAGCTTCAGAGTCCTTTTAGATATTTTAATCCCGTATTGCAGATTTTTTTAATCAGTGTTTATCTCCAATGAAGGAATTTTATTTATGTATCATCTAGGAAGGGCTAATTTTTACATGCGTTAAAGGTGGTGTACTTTCATTTCCTAGTATACAAATTTTCCCCTATAATCTTTTATTTTGACCTTGCAGTGCCTTTCTAGGTCATGTCTTCAGTAGAACTGTAGTACAGGTTAACTTCCTTCATGCATGTGAATCACAGGTAGAAAAACACCAGCTATCTGTTAAAGTCTTGAAGTTGTAATAGTTCTCATTAACCTTTCTTCTTGTGTCAGATGTTATTCAGCAAATAATCTCCATTCCTGTACTACATGAGAAGGTCCAGACCACACCTGCAGAGCACTGGTGCCTGGGAAGCAGTTTTGCCTCTTTCCTGCTTCATGATGTCAGGCAGAATTGTAGGAACACTTACATTTTGTACTGAAAAAATCAGGCAAGAGATTACTCTAAATTCGAACAAACGCCACTGAACTAAGCACCTTTGTTCAACAGATTTATCTAAAAGATCCCTTTCAGGCTGAATAGGGTTGGTTTGTGTTTAACCATGATGTAACTCAGACTGTTAAAATTCCTTAACTTAAAAAGAAATTAAGCCCCAGCATTGACTTTGCAGCAAGTGGTGGTGTCCATTTCTGCACTGTTTGGTACCTTTCATCCAAAAGGAGCCTTATTTATGAAAGTCAGTGGAATAGGGAAATAAACAATTGCCTTGGTTTCCCTTTCTTCATTGCCTGTGAGTTTTCCTATTCACTCTTACTTTGTACCTTTCCTGAGTGGAAATATTAGCCTTTCTCAAATAAAAAACAAAGCCTATTACTTGGAAGTTTTTAAGCCAAATGTTATGCAGATGTTTAACTATTTGACTGAGGGTTTACTAGGCTAGCATTGAATTGACTTGGAATTTTAGGTAGAATAACCCAAATGTTACTTTGAATGGCAAAGAATAATTCTCTACAGACACAGTAAAGCATCTTCATACTGGTGTACAGTGTCACTTGCCCTTCAAAAGTTCTAATTTCACAGTGGGACTCTAAAATGGGATTGAGATGTACTTCTAAGCAGCCTGAGCCCCTGATGTGTGAAACCAGTGAGTGTGTAACAGCTTTTAGGAGTGGAACAATGGCACTAGCAGTTGCAAACTTAGAGGAGCCCAGAGGGTTTGTTGGCACTAAAGAGACTAAGACTGGGGAGGGTGAGACATCCCCTACCAGCAAATGGAAGATGCATTTGTGCTAAGCATTGGTTGCTTGCTTGGACTGTAAACATCCAAGTGTGGAAGAGAAAGGAGTGAGGACTTTGCTCAGTAAGATCTGAGGACGTCTACAGCTGCCACCAACCAATGTGACTCAACAGGGAAATGTAAAGCCATTTCAAAGGTCTACTGCTATCGTGGTGGTACTGTGGTCCCCAGTTATTAGAAGTAAATGGAGGAGACTAAGAAATATGTGTTCCAGTATTGGGAGATAGTAGTTAGCTACACTACTTAGGGTAGCTGACTACTTACACATTTATGCATGTGCAATTCAAAATTATGTTGGTGAATATTTCATTCTAAGTGTTCAGCAATTGTTTCATATCTTTAAATGATTTCTGACAGATATGAATGCCACAATAAGGAGGATTGATCAGTTGACCAATATTTTGGCCCCAATGGCAGTTGGGCAGATCATGACATTTGGCTCCCCAATGATTGGCTGTGGATTCATTTCTGGCTGGAACCTGATGTCAATGTGTGTGGAGTATCTGCTGCTCTGGAAGGTTTATCAGAAAACCCCTACTCTGGCTCTCAAATCGGCAAAAGTTGAAGAATCTGAACTGAAACAGCTGAATGTCAAGAAAGGTACTGAAAACACAAAAGTAGCTATTCGAATTCACAGTATATTCAGTGCATCAGTCAAACCCAAGTGTTGATTCTTGTCTTCACCTCTGAGGCTATATAGCTTTCTTCTTAGAGCTTGGAGATTTCAGGTTTTGGATATAAATACCAGAGACTTTAATCTAAGTGACACTGCTTTGTGCAGCTGTTTGAGGAATTCTGTAAAATGCAGCCAAAGAATGAATTCTCTCCTCTTAATTAACTCTTTAGACTAAATCTGCCCTGTAACTTAAGGCTGATCATAAGGAATGCTCCTATCTATCTATTCCATAGCTAATAAACTGGACAAAGCCCTTTATTCTGCAGTGTCTACAGACAAAACAGCCTCTGAAAGACTTCCTTGCTAACTCATTTCTACTTAAGCATAGTACTAACAGAATTTCAGGAGGTTGTGGGATAGGTGGTCGTATTTCTAGTGTGGCATGTGAATCATTTCCACATGCTGCAGGAAATGGTGGAGAAAAAATAATCTATTTTGACCTTCAATTCTGTTTCCTTGGCCAAGCTGAACAACTGGAATGTGCAGTGTAGATGGTTACAACTAGGCCATTACTATAAGCAACCTTAAAATTGATATTAACATTACTTTAGGTAGACTCAGTATCGGAAGTTAAAATCATTTCAGAAGCAGACTTTTTATTATGAAGTAATTGAAATGTCAGATACTAGAATAATAAATTTAAGTGTTTTTGCATTTTTAAGGTAATGCACTGAGAATACTCCTGAAAGCTCATGTGAGCTCCCAACTTGAACAGGTTGTGGGGGTTTTACAAAGAAGCATTTTAAAATTGCTGATTTTTTTGTTTAAATACTATCTAGGATCTTGGCTTAATATATAGTGAGATAGGACTCTGCTATTAGAGGGACTGAAGAGATACCTCTTCCCAGCTGTCAAATCCATTGTGGTAATAGCTGGTCCAGTAAGCTGTTGGACTTTTTCCTATTTTACAGTGAAAATGGAATTCTAGAAAAGCATGTTCTGAGATTTTTTTTTTTTAATGTCAGTCTTTGAAAGCTTTTGGCTCTGAATAGGCTTCAGCAAACCTGTTTGCCTTGGTTCTTCTACCATGACATGATGTTGACAGATGTTGAAGTATTTCTTGGTTTCTGCAATTAGTGCATTTAAAGGTAGAAAATTATGTTAAAATGCCAACTAACATTGGCATTCATTTAGCAAATAATTTCTTTCTGGAAATGAAGCATTTAGTCACAAGTCTATTGAGAAGAAGCAGGCAGTGCTTTCTCCTACCACAGTTTCATTAAATTCAATAAGCAGTTTAAATTGGTAAAGTAAGATCAAGTTAAATTTAACACTGCAGGTGGGATTTAAGGACACTTTCAATCATTTAAGTAATCAGAAGGCTTTATTGTGGCATTTAACTGCTGCAGTTCTGCAGCTCAAACTGCAAACAATTGTCTGTTGGTTTACACTGTGCACTTTCCAGGCAGGAGTGTGTCTGATGGCTCCATTTCTGTTTACAGAGAGTGACATGAAACCTGCAGAAGGAGTGCAGTTAATTGTTGAGAAAGATGTCAGTGGCTTTGAGGCTCCCCAGGAGAAGGAAGTTGGCTGTGGTGCCCGGATTGCCGAGCCTTTCGTAACTTTCCGCGATGGATGGGTTGCGTACTACAACCAGCCGGTGTTCCTGGCAGGCATGGGGCTTGCCTTTCTGTACATGACTGTCCTGGGCTTTGATTGTATTACTACAGGCTATGCATACACTCAGGGTCTGAGTGGCTCTGTGCTCAGCCTCCTCATGGGTGCCTCAGCAGTCACTGGAATCCTGGGGACAGTAGCGTTCACCTGGCTCCGTCGCAAATGTGGCCTCGTTCGCACAGGCCTCATTTCTGGAGTCGCTCAGTTTGCTTGTCTGATCTTATGTGCCATCTCTGTGTTTATGCCTGGGAGTCCTATGGATTTGACTGTTTCCCCATTTGCTGACATCAGTGCCAGGCTGTTTGAAAATGAACCGTTACCTACTATAGCATCTCCAGAACCTGGAATGGTTTTTGCAACTGGAATGCCCAATTTAAATGGGTCGACTACTCCTGCTAATAGTGACCCAGAGATTAGTCCTGAGCCTGTGCCTTTACTCTCTGTTAGTCTCCTGTTTGCAGGAGTCATTGCTGCTAGAGTTGGTAAGTACTATGTCTTTACTAAAACTTGGTTTATTAACTGCTTTTAATTCTAAAAATGACAATGCCGGTCAGCTAAACACAAATTTGACTTTAGAACTGGAGGCTGTAGCTGAAGTGTTATATCCCATTTCTAAGGCTAATGGATTTATACTTTATGTAAAAATGAAATGGTCTTGCAATAGTGTCACCAGGGCAAAGACTACAGTACTAGTATCTTGAATATTGCATGTCACTTGTAGGAGAAAAGTTACCATATTTGGAGATGATTGTAACTTGTTTTTTTGGAATGCTCATCTCTACATCATCTCCCTTCACAACCAAATGAAAGCACTTGTTACTAGGAAACAGTACTAAAGACATCTGCTATGAAAACCTTCAAATTCAGCAGTTTACTAAATTAATCTGTTCATTAAATGGTCTAATCTTGAGTTTAGAATAAAAAGTTTGATTTGGATGACAGAATAATTCTTTTAGTAATTGCTGGTTAGTGTAGCATTAGTATCAACAGAAGAGGCAAATACATAAATGTCATGAACAGTAACTGTCATTTGTAGAATTTTTGTACTTAATTTCTGCATTTTTTACCAAATGTTGGAGGAATTAAATACTTGATTGACATGTATTAAGTTTGTTTGCAAGATAAACTTCTAAAGCTGGATCATTAATGGACTACAACAGTGTAGAAGCTAATGTCAACTGAGACCATTTTAAATTATATATTCTGCATAGTTTATAACATGTTTGGATTTTTTCAAACATCTTGTGAATAACTTGGTGATTGCAGATAACATGAATACCCTGTAAATAGCTGTAAAACAGCTGTTTAAATAAGGAACAGATGAGCAAAACATTATTAATTTGATAGATATGTTGAAGCAAGATGTCACAGGTGAGTCAATGTGTCAAGTTGTATGTATTATTTTCAGAAATACTGGTAAAAGGAAACTAAGTTGGTCTTGACTGTCAGTGTGAAATAATTTCTAGTTGTACAAGAGGGTATCTTACCTTGTGTGTTTTCAGCAGAAGTGAGTATTTGGCAGGATGAGTTGAATTGTACCAGTAATGAAAGCTTACCATGAGCAGCCTGGTTATATGGGTAACTGTTTTCTTTCTCTCCATAGGCCTTTGGTCCTTTGATTTGACTGTCACACAGTTACTCCAAGAAAATGTGGTAGAATCTGAAAGAGGCATCATAAATGGTGTCCAGAACTCCATGAATTATCTTCTTGATTTGCTGCACTTCATCATGGTCATTTTGGCCCCAAACCCTGAAGCTTTTGGCTTATTGGTGCTTATTTCTGTGTCTTTTGTTGCAATGGGCCACATAATGTACTTCAGGTTTGCCCAGAAGAGCTTGGGCAAACAGCTTTTTGTTTGTTGCACTCCTGATCCCAAAGAAGTCCCTGACAGTTCACCACCCGGTAACACCTCTACTGTCTGAAAAGATCCTCTTCTCTTACTAACCTGCTACACAAATATCGTGGTTAAAGACATATACTCCCTTTTGTGACCATGTCTAAGGTGTTTCTCTAGAGTTGAATGCATAACTTGCAGCTGAGAGTAAATTCATCTTAGAGTGACCCTGTAAAAATGTTTCATGCGTGGCAGAGGACAGCCTAGTTGGATCTTGACAGCTACTGTTTCAAAGGGTCCCCACAAGTCCTCTGTCTAGTGCTTGATCACAGACATAATGTTGAATTTCTGTTACTGACCCCCATAGTGATACTGTTCAGTGGTTATACTCAGTTTGTGAATTCTGAATGGTTCTTGTGTTCCTTGAGCAAGACAAGTATTAGTTGCTTCAGAATAACTTCTTAAACAGTATTTGTATTTTTGGAATTCCTCTCCAATACCCCTTCACCATGGACAGTTCTGCTCCCCTATCTTCTCAAATTGATACAAATATCTTGGATTCCTGAAACACTCTTTTTAAGTTTCAGTGTCTTCCCAAAGCCTTCATAGTATTCTATTTGTTCTGGTTTAACTTTATGGAAACACCTTTGCAGGGAATTTTTTGCATGTTTCCTTACAAATTAGACAATTTCTAGGTACAAGATATTGTATTACACTTTTGCTGCATTTCATAGAGTACAACATAGCCTCATTTAGCAGAAGCTGTCAATGTAACCTTACAAAACATGGCTTTTGGATTGCAGGTGGCAGGTTTGCTCAGGTTTGATGTAGCAGAAAGTGCTAAGGTCAGGAGTACTGGTACAGAAAGATAAATTCTAGTGCTAACTTAGTTTTTTGCCTCAGAGTACAAGCAGCTTGTTAGTTAATTTTCCAGTGTATCATAGGGTTTCTGAAAACAATTGCATTTGAAAATAGTTAATATTTTAGGCAAAAGAATTAAACAAGAGGATTACTTGCATTTATTTGTTGATGTGTGTGTGAATTTTGACTTTGTTCTAAAAGACCACTCAGCTAACAAGATGGTGGACTGTGTGGCCCTCTAAAGCAACTTCAGAGCAATGAAAATAGGACAACCCTCTGAAGTTCTTGCATTTTTATTTGTTGGTTTTGGTGAGTTTTTTACCCTGCATGTGTACTAACACAGTACTTCCATAGCTATTAAGCCTGTGTGCACTTTTGTGGAAACAATGCACTTTGCTTTCTCAGTAGAGTTGAACCTGGTGGTGTTCTGAGTTTTCCCCAGCATTGACAGTCTGACTTCTGAACTGAAATCTCTGTCAAATATTTGTTTGCAAAATTAGTATGCAAAAAGCATCATGTCAGCAACTTGTGAAAAGTTTCCTCTAACTTTTTAAGGTTTTCCTTATTTTAGGTACAGTCATCTGTGTTGCCAGACTTCAGCCCTGGGGTGTAAGTGTGTGAACTCCACTGACATTAAAGGCGTTACACCAGGGCTGGGTCTAGGCCACTCAGCATCAATTGTGTGGCAATTACATTCTCTCTCGAACTAAATAGAATGTAAAGAACCTCTTGGGGCTTTTGTCTTGGCTACAGTGTTCTCTAAGAGGAGTAAAAGGTGACTGAATGGGAATCTGATGTACAAGCAATGGACTTGTAGCCCACAGTATTTAATAACTGGATGTAACAGTTTTTCCTCTTCTGATGGACCAAAACTAATAATTACTCTATGTTGCTGAAGGTTTCTCAGGGATGTTTTCACTAAGTTTCTAAGTGTTTATACTTTGACCAAGCATTTGGGTTTGTTTTGATATAATAAAGTAAAATACACTCAGGATTGACTTAGAAATTTTCAACCTACTCTAAATTATATAACTTAAGGCAAAGGGAATTTTGCTGTCAGCAGAATTTGTCAGAAGACAAATAAAACAAGCTTATCTAGATTTGTAGAATACATATGCCCAAAGGACAGCCTATGTGGTTGGGAGAAATACACTAATAAATAAAATACCTCTGATTTGCCAAGTATGTTCTCATGTGTATTTAAGCTAAATTGGGACCAGATTTTATTATTGTGAAATACAAATAAAGGCAGTCCAAATGTCAGTGAATGCCTCTATACTACACTTGGAACATCTGAATGCTGCTGTATATTTTGGGCTCACTGGCCATCAGGGAAGCAGAACTGAAAATGCATCTAGTTTGGTTTTTGGGTTTTTTGTTTTGTTTGTGCTGTCAGTATCACACACCACCCAGGGTGCCTCAAACTTAGTCCTTTAGCACAGAGCACCAGACATCCCAGAGAGGATGTATTCCCAAAGCCTAGAGAGCTCCAAAAACAGAACAGAGCTGGGAGCATACCATGTTCCTGCCTCTTCCCAAAGTCTTCTGGGTTTTTTTCCCAATAGCAATGTGATCTTATTTAAATTGAGTAGCAATTTGTTTCATAAATAGTTCCACTAATTGTGCAGTCAGGGTCTCAAGCCATAAAATTCCTGTTTGGGGGGGACTTCGTACACATAATCTTGTTAGGATTCATACATGTGGATCACAACTGGAAGGCAAGGCAATCCTAAAAGAGAGAAGTGGATGCTAGTTTCTAAGAGTAATAAGGAGGTCTAAATTTGAAATCTTCTTTGTATTAGTGTGACTCAGATGTCAAACAACATATGCTGCTTGAGCACAGCCCATTTGTGTGAGTCTGAGATGTACACAGACACCTGAACTCATTAGTGCTTTGAAGCAATGTGGAGCCTGAAGTCTTACTTAGCAGGACTTTTATTAAGTAAGCATTTTTGGCCTTGTATTTATTTATTTTTGTAAGAAAAATGTGTCCAAATTGGATGAAGACTGCCTTTAAAATGTATGCACCGGAGATCAATCTTATCAGAATAACCTATTTTATTATACAACCTTATGCTGGACATGGTATTGATTTATGTATTACTATTGTTAAAGCTAATGAATAAATTTGCATAAAACCTTTTTTGTCCTGTATTGTTCAGTTTGTGGGTGTTTCTGTATGCTACGTTTAGCATGGACTCTGTAGATGGAGGTTTTCTGTGTGATGGGATGGAACAGCCATGAAATAGCATTGAGAGGGAAGCAAATGACAAGTGTAGTAATAACTCTTCAATGACCTGTAACTCTGGGCTGAAGTGTGTTTTATTTACCATCTACAGTGGTAAGTTAAGACACAATAGCTGAAGGTGAAGTTGTGGTTTTACAACCTCAGCCTGAGTCCTGCATTGGTGATAGAATAGTTTTGTCTTGGCTTGCTGAGCACCAGAAAGCAAATGATTTTACCTCTTCCCTCATTTTTTTTACCATAGTGAATTTGAGATGGCCTTCTGCAGCAGCAAGCTGTAGGTGGTGAGAGCCCTAGGCATAGCAGTGTACAAAAATACAGGCAATACCTCTAATATTCTGATTTTAGTCTTGAAAAGTACTGGGTTATTTTATACAGGACAGTTTCTGGGTATGTGTACTTAGAATATGTTTGCATGACAAATTGCTTTTTGAAAGGATGCTGCATCCATTCACTAGGATTTCTCTGAACTGATTCCTCTTTGAACTAGAGGTTTCCTAGAAAAATACCTTTGTTTTGTCCCCCAGTTGTATTACTATCATGATATTTCCACATGGGAATGGGAATTAGAGTAGTAATCATTTGCTTCCATGTGGGAGTTAGAATGTGGTGAGTTAAAACTACACATTGTGTTGCACGTATCAACTTGGTAGCATTAGGGTAAGTGATGTACCTCTCTAACAAGAGCTGCCTAAATGTCTGTGGTAAAGTCAGATTACCAAATTTCATTTTGAGGAATGTTTGCCTCCTTCACTGGCACTTACAAGCTAAGACAAGTGTTAGAATACTGACTTGAAAATGTAGTTACACGTATCCACCCCTGTAAGTACAAAAGGAAAAAGGATTGTGAATGGTATTGTGTAGTGTCCTTAATGGCTAAAGAACACTTTTAACTGAAGAAGACCCTTCACAATTTACCATTCCACTGTTTTATTTTCCTCAGTTGTTCAAAGTTCTGAGTTTTCTAGGCTCCTGTGGAATTAAGTGCTCAGCAACCAAAGGTAGACTGCTTGGAGGGATCTACCACTATTTGTTTGCTTGTTGCACTACTTTGTGTACTAGGTAGTTAAGGTATCAGCCCTGCCTGTGGAAGGCAAGCTGTATTGTTCATCATGTATTACAGTGTTTTGCTCTGGACTATTTAAGTGCTTTTATTTTCAAAAGTGTTTTCATAAACTGAGCACTGATAATGGGGATTGAAAAGAAAAAGAGTGAACTCAGTCCCTTCAATTTAAACTGTTTTCTGTTTCTTCAGTGAGAAAACTCTCTTAGAATTTTCAAAAGAATAAGCAGGTTCATCTCTAGCAGTTTTAAAATACTACAGTGACTGCTACAGTGAAGTGTATGGGTGTGTATGTCTCAGGTCAGCAAAATTGAAGCGATTCAGAGTAAAGATTTTCTGCTAGAGATGAGTCCAACTAATGTAGCCTTTCTAAATCTAGTACTGTGGAGGGGATAATGCCTTTCTATCTGCCTCAAAACTGGCCTATTTGCAGGTTCTCCAGGAATATATTGTGCTGTATTCTTCATTTGTATCTTTCTCAAGGACTTAATACTAGAGAAGCTAATAATAATTATTAGAGTAAGTCCTTTTTGTCTAGCCCTCTGTATTCATACATTCTTTTTGCTGCTTGTGGATGCTTTTAACTTCATGGTGTAATAGTCACTGTAGGATTAAAAGTATTTTGTTCCTGGAATAAGACTATGCCTCTACCTTCTGCTTTAAATAAGACAGACTTCTTTCGCAACTCTGAAGGGCAGAAAAAGTTGAACAAAGATGTTTGCTTAAAGATTTGCAAAGAGCATGGACAAAGTGCACACTGTTCAATAATGCTTTTTCAAATACTTCAGCTTGTTCTTGTGTGGGTCAATATTTCTTTCTAGTTAAACTTTATTGTATTTAGTCACAAGAGAAACATGCAACTGTGTGCTCTCCACTTCTAGGCTAGGTATAGAGAGATGGAGCAATCTCTTTTCGTACAGGCAGAGTTAAGAATTCTTAATCCTTTGTAAATGCACGGGAA